CTTAAAGTCAAACTTATAACTTATAACTTAATAACTGATTGGGATATTACAACAGCTCATGTGCCAACGACCACCATCTTACAAGAATCCCAGCACGGCATAGCTTCTTCTCCTACAGAGATCGGGCACCGCTCCTCACCCACCTTCAACACCGACAAGGGCACAACCGCCATGTTCAAGGCGGAGATATTAGGTCGTGCTCCACTTCCGGCACCCTCTCCTCCGTTAGAAACGAAAATCCGCGAGCAGCCGCCAAGTTGCACCGCTGCCCAAGGGCCGAGCCCTGCCATCACTCCTCCTCAACCGGCGAACCAGGGCCTCGCCCGACTGGAGCATGATCCTTTCGAGATGCAGTTTCCGACATATCCACCGCCAAACTGAATCTTCAGAGACTGATGTTGGAGTCCTTTCGGGACAAGCAGAGCGGGACAGTCACACGCTCCGAGGAGGGCAGGTTCAAGGTAAGTTTCCTTGAGCCCACTGTTATTTCCCTAGCTGGGTCGTTTGATAATGCACTCATTTTGAAGTTTTCCTTCACTGTCCCTTCCCTCCGGGATCTATCTGTCGGTCTGGAAAAATTAGGTTTCAAGCGTAGAGTGTCTCCTAAGTTCCTTAATTATAATCAATATTTGCTCTCTTTCGAGCTGAAAGAGGACTACAATTCTATTTGGATTAAGACGCACCTCAATATCTTTGGATGTTCGGGTCGGGTGTTTACATACACCCCTGATTTCTCTTTTGTTGAGGAATCTCCCATTGTCCCGGTATGGTGCTGTCTACCGAGCCTTCTTCCTCATCTTTTCGATCCCTCTGCCCTCTTCTCGATCGCCAGTTGCATTGGCAATCCCATTAAGACTGATGCCGCTACGGCAAACCGCTCGAGACTTTCAGTCGCACGGGTGTGTGTAGAGATTGATCTTAGGGACGAGCTCATCAAGGAGATTGAGCTCGACCAAGTGGGCAAGACCACAATCCAGAAAGTGGTCTACGAGAGAGTACCACCGTTCTGCTCCCTATGCAGTCAAATAAGACATGGGGCTGCACAATGCTACACCAGGGGCGACAAGCCCCGACCTGCTTTGCCCCCCTCCCGTCGACGTGTAGCGAGGCATGGTTCTACTATCACCCCAAGGAGCCCTAAGGAGAGGGCAAGGCCCCGGCCCACGGTCCTGATCGAAAGGGACAAAAGGGCAAGGGCAAGGTCACCTTTGAGGGCACACAACCCAAGGAGGTTAACCTCGATAGGCCTAAGGCCAAAGCTACATGCCTTTTCCCCCACCTATCCCTCCAGTCAGCTCCCGTA